CTATAATTATAGGCATTATTAAGAGTTAATAATAATAAATGAATTTTCTAAGAAAGGGCGGTCTACTCCTTTTAGTTCTCCCGCCTTTAGTAAAAATGTCAACTTCCCCTCAGTGCTCCTTTATATCCCTCCTGATTTTTACTTACTGGAATATCTCTTAATTGTTGTATGATTTTAATTACATTACCCATTTCATCTTTTCTTTGCTTTTATTTATACCTAAATATTTATACCAAACTAGGACGAATAAATGATTAAAAACTATACGGCTTAAAAATACCTTTCGTATGTGGCCAAAATAAGAGGCTTACTGAGGAAGACTTTAATTTTAAATTCGCTTAAAAAGAATAAAAATAAAAAAAAGCTCAGTTTTCAGGTAGCGAAATTCAATTGACGTAGGGTAACGTGGCGTTCAGTCGTTCAAAGAAATTTTACACCTGACCACATAAATACTGGGTTACGGACTCTGTATGGCATTAAATTGGATTTCATGCATTACAAAAATCATTTTGATCGAGTCGGTAAACTTTGAGGGATATCATATTTCGTATTACACACAAGATGCTGTTTCTGGTCTTGGACTACCACTACTACCACGGCGGACGTTCAATATTGAATTTCTGTTTCACGCTAATGTTATACAAGGTTACAGTGGGATCTCTGAAAGATATTGAAGAGATCCTTCTTTACACGGAGGTTCTAGCTTTTAACCATTTTTGAAGTTTTAAAACAAAGTAGTTTAAGAAAAATAGGATCTGTATTACCTATTTACTGATATAATAGATTAACAAATATACATTGTTATTAAAAAATGAACTTGCAACGCTCTACTGTAGATTGTACATACAGGTGTCCAGGAAAATGTGGGAGGTCTTTCGGATTCAGATAGAACATGAAAAAATAGGATGACAAGTTCCCATAATTGTTTTCATAGTGGCCCTCCCTACGGAGATACGGCCTCCAAAAGGACGTCACTGGAAATCATTTTTTTTAATAACTCAAACTACGTAATATAATTTAATGAAAATTGAATATAATAAACAGTAGTAAGAGCCTCTTAAAATACTGCCCTTAAATCATAATTAGCTTGTTTAGTTAACTAGGGGCGGACTAGGTTGTACATTTTAATGCTTAGGTACATTTTTAACACCCTTTATGATAAGGAGTTAAAAAAAATAAATTTCGATACCTTGAACATTAAGCTAAAGAAAAGGTACTCTTCTTCATTGTCGATAAAATGAACCGTTTTCGAGAAAAAAAAAAGAATTGTTTTATTTTTATTAAAATAATTAATTAGCTAATTTCAAATTGGTAAATTCTAAAATACAACTTGGAGTATTATGTTTTCATCCTGAACTCACTAAAGCTTGTAACGATTGAACCATAAACCATAAAAGAAGTTTTTTATAAAGAAAATTTCCAATAACCCGATACGCGAAAATTTGTATAACGACGTTTCGTATTTTTCAGGACCAACTTCAATTCTGTTTTTTCTAAATAAGGACCTGCATTTTTAATCAAGTTTTTAAGCTATTGCATAGCTCTTATCGCGGGCTTTGAGCGCGGCGACCGAATCAGGAAATTCCGTAACGAAAATAAACCTAACACTCCCCACTCCGACCGGCACAGCGGTGCGGCGTTGAAAGCCGTGCATCATCTAACGTCGTTTCAGTTCGGCAGATTTCGGCATGGTGTTTGTGTGCGTACGACTAGACGTATGCGTGTAAACTAGCTGCTAACTGCTCATAACTGATTCTATCTCTTTTAGACACAATTTCGGAAAAATTGAATTTGAAAATGAATAATTATCAACAAGAATCCACAACAAAATATGGGACCACCATTGACGCGGTATCTTCCAGATATTTAGAGGATATCAAGTCTCAAACTTATGTTTCTTATTTCAGTTACCATAAACCTATAGTTTCAATGATAAAAATTCCTGATTAACCTACATGTATTGTAAGATAATAAAAATATTTTAAATATTAACTTCTCATTTATTCAATAAAAGAAAATCGAAAAATCGAAAAATCGAAAAATCGAAAAATCAAATAATCAAATATAATTTTAAAATATGTAGTTTAACGCTGTCTACCGTTCTGTGAAAATATTTTGTTTATATCTCTAATAATGGCGGAGATATTGGACTTTTTCACACTAATGGATCACCCTGTATATTATCTTGCTATAATTTTTGTTCTATACATGATTTTTTTGGAAACATTTGAGGAAAAGTGTAAAATTTCAATTTTTTTAGTATTTTCGTTGGCAAGGAATATTTAAAAAAAAACATGTTTCGAATAAGATGTGTGTGAAAAATGTATGTAATTAGTTCATCCTCTAAACATGTACAGGGGTGAATAGGTTGTATGAAATAACCGTAACATGACAGAAAAGTCATGTTGGACACATCAGATTTTCTTTAAAGCTAAACCTACACAATGTGAGCCAACAATTATCTAGAAATGAAAATAATTATAATCAATAATCGTTACTATCAATCGTTCCATTTTCGACAAACTTCTGTTTTATTTTGAATTAAATAAAATTAAATAAAACAATATTACTATTATAAAAAATTTGAAGAAGGTTCCAGTACGTCTGTTTGCATATATTTTATTAAACGCGTGAACCATTTCTTTTGTTGTTCATTTACTGGAGGTGTCCACCCTTGTCAGTTGGATAAAAGGATTAGGTCATTTGTTAGAAGAAATCTAATAAAAGAGTCTCACTTAAGTGCCAGAAGGTACTACCTCCACTTTTGTATATACATAGGTACACAGAAATCAGTTTAGGAGTTTAGTGAGTGACAAACGTTTTAGTGTTTATGGAGGTGTACGAGAAATATAATTTGTAAAAGTGAGAAAATAGTGTTGTTAAAATGGCTATAGATTTTGATTGGAAGAGAAGTTTGAATAAGGTAAAAATATAATAAATAATAGAAACATTAAAAGTCACGTGTCTACAAGAGCTATGCTATGTTCTCATCAACTTCGTTATAGCTTGATTCTTTACTATAATACCATATATTTCATTTAATGATATAAAGATCTAGTTGGCAAGTCTTATGTCATTGGTTTTGAAGTGTAACTGTAAATTATGGAGCTGTTAAATTTTAAAAATGTCACATTTCAGTGAATTAATTCGTGATATAATCTATCGTTTACAACTCTTTCTAACGTGACTAACAATGGACAAGTAATTTTATTTTTTAACAGTCACGATATTAGTGAACAAGTAGTTATTTCTGTTTTTATAAATAAACTCCCTGCTAAAAATTACACAGATTGTCAATCTCGTTGTATATTTGATAGTATGGGAAATTTAGTATTTGCTAACTGTTGCCCTCCACTTTGCACGCTTGTTTTTAAATAAAAAAATACATTAGTGCCCAAAAAAGGAGCTCTAATATGCTTTTCAAGGCTCATAATTTAGATTTATAGATTAAAGTTAAGTAATATAATATTTAAGTATAGTAATTTAATTATGAAACTTTTGTATACAGAATTTCTGGTACGGCTCTCATCTACTAAAATCACACGATTACTTGCGGAATATGCCACATAAAATTGTCTGCGAGAAAAGCTAGCAGCGTGAGGACTGTTGTCGAGGTGTCGGGACATTAAGATATGTCGTTTTTATCACTTCTCTCCTCATATTTTGCATGCCAGGGCGTAAGAAGTTTTACTTATTTGTTTTTAATTATTTTTATTTATTTTTGATTTAGTTTTATTTATTTTCATCTGTTTTCGTTTATTGTTATTTATTTTTATTTATTTATTTATTTTTATCCATTTTTACGATACTGCCATACAAATTTTTCACTCCCAATTTCGCCCCTATTTGATATTCCAAAAACGCTGAAATACGTCATTATTTATTTATGATGATTTTTCAAGTGCCTACCTTTAAAAAAATCGATACACCCATACAAAATTTTCAATGTTATTTTAATTGTGTGAGATACAGTATAAAATAGTATTCGATTGATTTAAATTCCATTATCGTCGCACGCAATATTCCTAAGAAAGGGAAATTTCGTGAAGTGAGAGTACAGTAAAGCAGACGATATCGATATTAGATCTAAAAATTTCATTTTCCGATATTATTTTGTAGTATCTACTAGTGTCTGGCTGTACAAGTGGTGAGTAAAAAAAAAGGATAATGTCGTTATAAAAGATATATCTGTGTAAATTATATTTCAACCTGTTGTTAGTTATAAGTTTATTTTTTTGAAAGTAAAGTTAAATTTTTTAAATATGCTTTTATAATTCTTTTTGGTTGCTGGAATTGCACATTATTTATAGTAATTAGTTTTTATTGTATCTTGATTTAATTTTAAAAAGTAGATGTTTAAAATTTAATTTATATCTCGTACAAGAGCTCTACCAATTGGCACAGACCAAAACCTAAGCCAGCTCAAGTTTAAGAAATTTTCCTAAGACTAAGGGACTGCTGTCCCTCGCGCCTTTTGGCCACAATGTTCACTGACTGACGACGCGTCATGACAGTTGGCAACCATGAAGATAGATGGCGCGGCCATTTGACAGATTTGGCCTTCACTTGAACGATGGTCGCCATCTTGTAGTTGGCAACATCACAAGGTTAGGTTAATAACACTGTTGCGTTGTTTCAATTTAATGTCGAGTTTCTGGGGAATTATCGGGCGTACTAACTATTGATTCATTCGGTGCGATGTTGCCAGATCTACTCTACAAATTTCCCCAGATCCGGAGAAAAACCAATGAAAGTGCCACAGAATGTCACATATTCTACCAAAGTCGACCTGCTTCTCCAGTTTAATACATTTTTGAACAAAAAAGTGCAGTATTTTCAGTTTACTAAACACATTTCTGTATTGCAAAACTTTTGTCGCCCCTTATTTTTTTAAGTCTCTAACCTTCCACATTTTGAAATGTCAAGTATATACTTTTAATATTGTGGAATGTTAACACACTAGTAGGTAATAACTAGTAATTATTGTTTTTTAATTTCAGTGTACCACATCAGCTGTTTTACCCACTACTGCGCAAATCCAAAAACCATCGCATCATCAGTACCACCCTCATTCCAATACCGGTGCACATCAGAAGCAGTGGCGTAACAGTTTGCGCAACAATGGGTATCGTAAATCGCCAGCTACTACTACTATAGATATTAGCTATAGCGATGATACTACTACAGACACACAGACTTACGATTGTTATCACCAGAATGGATTCCAACATAGTCCCCTCAGAGAATCCAGAAACACTGATGTTACATTTTCAGACGACAGTGGGTCTACTCGTCTACCATATTTTGAGTTTGACGACGAGTCTAATAAAAGGTAAATTCATTTAATAAGTTCAAAAGTAGGCATTTATAACAACTTACTCTGTTGCAGGTATTCTAGACATTCGTATTCTGACAGAAGTTTTAAAAGGCCAAAAACCTCACCTAACAGAGGACAAAACGCAAGTGTAAATAAAAGTTTAAGGAAAGTTTATCCCAACCAAGATATTCATTGGGATCAACTTTACCAAGAAATACCATCACCGTAAGTATAGGATTACGGCATGTTTATAAGTATAATAATTGAAAAAATATAGAATTTTGGATTCACGGCTTTAGATTAAAAAAAGGACTCCTAATACTTCATACACATTTTAAGTTATTGACATTTACTGTAATACAAAATAATAACAAGGATATTCTTTCATGTTACCATTGGCCTTCATTTTGAGGGTTGTATAAAATTTGAAAATGAAAATGTGATTAAGATATGGTAGATTTGTTTTTCTGTCTTTAGATTATATACGCTAGACTGACATTTGCCACTAGATTTTTGAAAAAATAATTTAAAACCGCATTACATGAATAATGATAAAATTTATACAATAAACTATCCTAATTTCACATATTTTTACAAATCAAGTTCATATGTTTTCAAATTACAATTTGAGAGTTCATGTTTTGTTCAAAACAGTTCTTGTTAAGTTTAAATAGTTATTATTTAGGATATATTGTTATTGTTCACCACAGGAACCCACTTTTCACCTATTCTTGTGGATGGTTTAAAAACTCTTCAAATTGTGAAAAAAATTAATACTAAAATGCCGTCTTCAACATTCAACACCCTGTATTTCTGTTACTAAAACACAAATAAAGATAAAGTATAAATTAGGCAATGCCTTTTCAAAACTCTTAACACAATTTCTTTTTAAATACTTGCCCACATTGTGTAAGCGATAACATTCTATTTGAACGCATCATAAACCAATGCCGATTTTGTTACAGATGTGATGGTGTACCTGTAAATAATGTACCTAGAAGAATACCTACCAGAGCGTCTGACAGGCCTCAGAGTTCTATGAGCTCAGGGGTGACCAGTGCAATTGTACACGGCTGTGGAGGTAGATGTCAAACATTCGAGAACGTTTGTTATTTTTTTCTTCAGGTGAGTAAGGTTTTGTGAAAAATGGCCCTAATTTTACAAAATTATATTTTACGCACTCAAAAAAAATGATTATAATAGTAATTAAAGTAATAACTGAAATGCCTCGGATCAACCCATAAATAGATATAAATAAAAAAAATAGTTTCTGAATTTACCTTCATGATTCATCTAAAACTCCAATCGTGAGCCCAATTTCTCGTATACGAGGTATTATAGAAACAAATGTGTACAAGAAATACCTTTATTTTTAAAGTTTAACCCCAATTATCATAGATTCCGATTTTTTACTTTTCGTAAATTTGGTCCTTTTTTATATATCAATAACTTAAATAAACAATGTAAAACATTTTATTTCCAGTTGATTTTTACCATGGGAATCCTAATAGGAATATCACTGTACATAGCTGGGATAGTTTTGCGAAAATCTGCAGCGCGAAATCTGCAAGTTCTAATGTACATAGGAATTTTACTAAGTCTTGTCAGTGGTTTACTATTGGGTATTCAATACGATGCGAGGAAAACGGCCAGAAGACGAAAAAAGGCCATCCAAATGGCCAAAAGAGCACCTATACCTATGGAAACTTTGCATTTGAGATCTAACCCGTTACATAATCAGCAGTTGGTCCTTGGGTGGAATGTTTCAAATCAAAGGTAACAATTATTTAGCTTTAGTCAAATTTCATAATTATTAAAAAAAAAAAAAACTAGGGCGAATTGCTTTTACTTCAGAGTTACACTCAATTAACAAGTTGCCATTGCTAACAGTTTTTAGAGTTTATAGATACCTTTATTGATTTAGGATTAACACTTTTCTGTATTTCTTGCTTCGTACCACTTCTGATTGTTGTGGAATATTGGGTTTAATAATAATTATAGTTGGGATATTTATTTACTAAATGCAGTGCAGGGGAAGGTTCCTGCCTGGGCATTAGAATATTGTAATCTGTTTTTGTTAAATCACAGTTTTCCAATATTCATATTTTTTTAGTTTTTCCTCAAGCATTTTTAAAATATGGTTTTTGTCATTTATTATTGTTTCTTTGTCTTTAGTTATTGTTTTTTTATCCTTGAGTATTGTTTTTTTTATCCTTTATTATTTGTTTTTTGGTTTTAAAGATAGATTTTAAACTTTCAACATATACATTATTTTTACATTTCTTGAACTCAAATTTCATTGTTCTTTTTTGTAAAGGTAAACATTTTAATTCTGATGCTTTTGGGTCTGCACAATCTAAGCATATTAAATTTCGACATGTGTCACAAAGATAAGGAGTTTTTATCTGTGCTGCTGGTTGTTTTATTTCCTTACACATAAAACACTCCATAATTAAATTTCATTATCTTCATATATCCCATAGATAAAATAAATACACTATTTTACTGTTAGCATGTATAATATATAATTGATAATTACTTACATTTTTACTTCAAAGCATCTTATGTTTATTGTGAAAAACATATGGATGATCAATCTATATAACTATCTATATCATTGTCAAATCCACCGGGAGCACAGGGTTGTCCATTGAGATAGAGTATAGAGGAAATGCTGTAACGATACTAAAAGTTTCCGCACTATTGCATTACACTTTTACGTGATGTGTCAAAGTCAAGCTAGTGGAAGCTAGTCAGTTTTGATTTTTTTAAAATAGCTTTATTTAAATGATAGAAAAACATTTTCATTCCGTTAATCTTCAAATATAAAATCATTGAATTCAAATAAATCAAAGAACTACTCTAAGTCACCATTTTGATTAAACTTTTCCGTCAGACAGGCACATCGAGATGTAATGAAGCAAAGACGACATAAACACTATTTTGCGAAATGACAAGTAGACACACAGCTAGTGATGAAAAAGTACAATCAAAATGGCAAATTTTGTCGCTTTTTGAGTAATTAATAATTTTTTATTTAAAGATTGATTGAATGAAAAGGTTTTTATGTCACTTATATCAAGCTATTTTCCATTAGCTCTAGTTTGACATATAACGTAAAAGTCTATCTTCATATCATATCCTCTTTATTCTATATCTCAATGGGCAGGCATCGCTAAGATCTGTCAAATCGCAAAATAGTGTTTATGCTGGCTCTACTTCACTCTATCTCGATGGGGTTGCCATATCAATGCCCACAGGTAACCATTTTGTTTGGAATGCCTAATAAGACAGAGATCCGTTTTTTAAAAATCACATATTATACAGAACTATAATAGAATTAAGCATTCTAACGACCTGTTAAAATTAGGCACTCCAAACAAAAGGAACTGATAAAAACATGCTTCCTAATATTTTTTGACACTCACGCGCCCATTCCATCTAGACTAACAATAAAATTGTTTAAAGGACGATGGGCAGAAATGTATAGGAAATCGACCCACCCCCAATACGGATAAGTTATATACCAATTGAAAGATATTTTTAGTAGTCTAAGATCCGAAGTAAGGTCGACCTTTACCCATCTGTTTAATGGATGAAAGTTTCTTTTTAATAAATATAATATGTTTAAAAATATACTGCAAAAGGGTTGCCTAAGAAAATACGGTCCAGACTATTTATTTTCTTAAAATAAAAAAAAACAACACCCTGTAAAGTCTTCTCCAGATGCTTCGATTATGCCCAAACTTTAATCAGCTCACCGCAGGATAGATTAAAGCTTAAGTTTAAAATTTGGTGCTTTTCTCCTTATCCGTTTTTGAGTTGTCTTTAAAATTCGAAATTTGCATTTTTCCTCAAATATCTCGAATTAGGTCCATTTCAGGGAAATCATGTATAGGGACAAAATAATAGAGAATGACATCATAAGTAACTTATCATGATATCTATACTTTCTTATCAGTATACAGAGAGAAAAGCAAAAAATGGCCGTGACCGTATTTTCTTAGGCAACCCATTTGCGGTATATTTAAAAACATTTTATCTAATAAAAAAAAACTTTTATCCATTAAACAGATGGGTGAAGGTCGACCCTATTTACGGATCCTGGACTATAAGGAGAACATTTCTCTTCATTACGACTCATCTCAATTACTTGTCCGTTCCGAGTTATATCATCCTAAATATAACTAATTTCACGATAGGCCAATTCTTATATTCTGTTTTTGTGGTACTTATTTCAGGCAAATAATAGTAATTATTACTGCTTAGTAATATAAAAACAATTATAATATCCAGGTATAACATTTGATGCTGTCGAGTATTTTATCCGCCACGTGTATCCCTTACCAAAAGGCTTCTACGTGTTGGTTACTCGGCCTTACGTATTATCTCCAAAGGACCGGATCCAATAGTTCGAGACCAAGGTAGTGGACAAACAATAATACATTCATAAATAAATTTATATTAGAATAAATATAAAGCCATTTATAACACATACAGGGTAGGGTATCATATACATGTCGGTCCAGACTATGACATATTATATTTTTTTAAATTACTTTTATGCAGAAAGATAAATATCTATTCAAGCTATAATTAAAAAATATATTGGACTTTACAGTGTGCTTACAAGTTTCTATCTAAAAAGTATTATTATTGAAAAATTTTAAACATTACAACCATTTTAATTACTTAGTACAGTATAGTATCAATATAAAATGAAAGTATTAGGTAGAAGGCAATTCTCTTGCAAGGTAGTATGTGGCTTGCATGAAAAATGCATTTCAGCTAAACGAAAGTTAGATTATACCATCTATAATTTAGCAACTATGCATTTTTTCAATTCGAGATTTGAGTTTTTGTTTAGTTGTTACAATGACAAGGGTCCCTATGGCAACAGTTGTTCAGTAACTAATTTCAGTTAAAGTTTAAATTATCTAGAAGTTGGCAACTATGCATTTCCTTACCACTGAATTTAGGTTTTTTGTTTAGTCGTTACCATGACCACTGTCTCTATGGCAACAGTTTGTCTATAACTGATTTCAGCTATATTAAATCATATTTGACAACTACGCGTGGAAAACTTTTTTATTATTGGTTTTGTGAAAAAAATATATTTTTGATAAAAAGTTCTGCATGGTTCAAAACTTAATATTCAACCATCAAATATTAATTTTTTTAATCCGTATACGAGGTTTGTCAAAAAATATGAATTTTACTCAAAAGTAAAGTAAATTTATTTTGAATTTAAAGTTATATTCAAATATGCAATTAGCCATTTAGCATTAAAATTCAGGTTTGGTGATTATTTAATTTATAACAACAAATAATTTATAATGTAAAACATAAATAATCACCTAACTTTACTTTCTAGCATTCTTCTGTATTGTAAAAAATAAGGTACTTAATTTACTCTTGAGTAAAATTCATATTTTTTGACAAACCTCATATACGGCTTAAAAAAATAATATCATATGGTTGCATTTTAAGTTTTGAACAATGCAGAACTTTTTATCAAGAATAGTGTAGCGTTTATTTTAAACAACAGTTTATTTGTTAATAATTTATTTGAACACCTATTTATTTTAAAACAATACTATTCTAATTTATATATTTCGTATGTCTTTAAATTGTTCACTATTTATCTTTACAACTCTGTATACACGACTAACTGGTCCGTGTTCTTCCACCAATATTTATAAACACATTAAAAATACTGGTGAAGATCTAGAATGCTCCCGCTAAAACTAGAAACATTATAACGTTCGTTTTGGAAGGTAATCGAAAGCGCCTTCGCCATAGTCGTCACATATGTTTGATCTTAAAGTGGTTTAATTATGTATGAAAATCGGACAAGTTGAGCCTCAAAGGACAAAAAAGACAGAGAGGCACTTGGAGGATTAGAGCATGACTGAATAATGAAATAACTCTCATTACAATTCATTTTTTCACAAAACCAATAAAAAAAGTTTTCCATATGGTTTCAACTTAAGTATAACTCGGAACGGGCAGACAAAAAATGTTCTCCTTGTCGATATCTTTCATTTGGCATATATCTTACTCCTATTGGGAAGTGGGGCAAAACTGCTCATTCTCCTTTGTAGTATATGTTTCTAAAAGCAGGTTTACCACCATATCCATTAATTTATATTATTTTTTTTTTAGAAACTCACAATTACCGCAAGTCCATACCAACCTGAATCGTCCGTTACCTCTTCGACCAACTGAAAGGCATTCCCCTTCGATAATAGAAGAACCGGGAATACCTTGGTGGAGACGAAAAGATCTCGATGTTATCTAGTTTGTTTGAAATGTAAAGATTGTATATGTGTATAGAATAAGACTGATAGGAACTATTTTTTAATGTTTAATTCGTTTAAAATATATTTACCAAACTTTTTTTACTGTATTTTGTTTCCAAATTTAGCCAAATTTATTACCTTTACTACCTTTGGTAGGTAGTTTTAATTTCAAATATCTTGAATGAATTAAATATTAAAAATATAAAACCAAATTGTACATAAGTGACCTTATTTGATTAACCCTACCTCAGTGACATTAATATTACCTAAATGAATTTTTTCTAGTCTAGATTCTATAGTGCCACAAATATTGCATTTTTTCGCCATATATTGGATTTAATAACTAAATTACAAATTGTTCAGAAACTAAAAATTCTAAACAGAAATAAACTGATACTGCACACATAGTTAAAACTTTATAAAAAGAAAAAGTATTTACTCCCAAGAAGCATCGCTCTTATTAGAGATAGAATTAAATAAAATGTCCAACAAAATTTATTAAATGCCTACAAATGTAGTTATGGCATTTTACGACAGCATATTTCTAGTATATTTTGTTTTGAATTATTCGTTTTACATTATGGCGATGTTTCTGGGAATTGTATACAAATTTTCTTTTCACCTAAGCAATTTTTGAATATTTCTTATTAAAAAACACTGACAACTTGTTAAGAAAAGTTAAATATAATTTGTTTTATGAATCTTTTCCTTTCTACAAGGTCGAATATAAAGTTAATTTGTTACGATAACGATATTGAGTTAGGTCATGTTAGTTAAAAATTAGGGCTGATCATTATCCTGTAAACTATAGGCCACACAAAGTATAATTTTTAGTTAAATTTACTAAAACAATCCGATTTTGGAGATTTACTAAATTCGAATATCGGGGGCATACAAGGGCATCCACTAAGTCAAAATATGTAGTTTAGAGAAAAATAGATTTTAATATTTTTTTCAATATTAGGAACTGGAAAATAAAATGAAAATTAACACGTTTATTAATATTGAATTGACCGTAGTTATGGACTTTTATTTTAATAAAAGATAAACAATTGACTTGTTCGCTTGAGTTATCACAAATTTGACAAAAATTGACTTAGTGGATTTTGCTTGTACGCCCATGATATGTATTAATAAAATTATAAAATTATTTTTTTATCTTTTCTTAACAATTCGTCAGGATTTATATTTCCTTCAATTTACGATACTTTTACTAAAACCCTCAGTACATCAGTAAATGTAAGACATGTCAATTGAACTATCTTGGGATTTTTATAAACAATTATGGCTTTTTGTACCGTGCATTTTAAGAGAATAAATTTGTTATTGAAGTTTTTAAAAATATTTTTACCATTAAGTATAAATTTGTTCGATGTTTTTTCGTTTTGAATGTTCCTTAAAATAAATGTAAAAATCATTACAAATATATATTTTTGGATACGAAATATATAAATATTTTTACATGAATTATATTTTTTAAGTACTTTAAAAATTGATAATAATGTCACTAGTTTTAATAGTATTTGTTGTACAGAATCTAAATAAATGATTTTCAGCTATTTATTTTTCTATGTAAGTAGAACCTTTTTTGGTGGCGAGCCTTTATAGACACCATGCAGTAAGCGCCGTTTAGAAAGCAAATTTACACTAACTAGCATTGGTTGTTTTTTTATTTATTGGGCAAATAAATGGAAATCACTTAAAAACGAGTACAATAAAATTCGAGAAAAGCTAAATTGGTTCCCACCTCATCGAGACTGAAACCCCCACGGGCAACATAAAAGAAACGATTTTATTTGTGAAGCATTGGCATTACTTATCAAGCATGTAGATAATCACATCGTTAGCCCTAATTTTTATGAACCATACTATTTCACCTTTTAATTAGGGTTTGCAAAGAACAAAATACATATAATGCAATATTTGCCAAAAGGCAGAGTTAAGCCTAATCCTTGCAAGCAAGGGTAAGTTATCTCTTCGACTCAACCTAAACTAAACAAATTAAAAATAATAATAATAATGATAATAAGCTAGATACAAAAATCCAAGCTTAAGTAATTCCATGGTAATGACGCAGAAATAATAAGACAAAGAAAATATAAAGCACAAGTCTAGAATGTTAGTTCATTAGTAAATAGCATGTTTATTATTTTATTTCTTATAGTTAGTTCTCAATGAGCAAGTAAGAAGATGTTTTATAGCCTGGTTATATTATATAAAAAGGATGATCGAAGAGAGAAGTAGAGTGAATAGGCGGCGTCAAGTAAGAGCGAGAACGTACGTTGATATGGTGTACGTCTGTTCTAAATTGTATTTTGTTGAAAAGATACGATGGTTCTTTATAGTTAACTAATGTATGATAAAATATAAAACAATGTATAACAAGATTCGTTTTTCAATATTTAGCCATCCTAACTCAGTTAAAGCTTCAGAGATATGGTCTCGTCTTTTTAAACCAAAAATCATATGCACACAAGAGTTCTGTACTAATTAGAGTCTACGCAAATCACATTTTAGCAGTGCTGGACCATATACTAGATCGGCAATATTTAAATGGGACAATACCAAAGCCTCGCGAAGTAATTTTTTTTCCGATCTAAAAGACCCCTATTTGCATAAATTAACTTTAAGTTGCAGTAGGCTCTCTTAAAAATTAAGTTAACATGTTGCGTATAATGCAGAGGTGTCCGGAATCAAACCAAATTTTTTTGAACTTTCAACTAATGGTATGGGTGTATCATTTATGTTTGAGATAACAGAGCCCAGAGTTCGATTTCGCGTATTTTTTCTTCCAAATAAGCGAACTTGGGATTTCGATGGGTTGAGACTGAAGCAAAAATGGCTGGCAGTATCCGCTAATAATGGAGATCTCTATTTAACTTTTTTATTGCTAATTGAATATTATTTTCAGGGAAAGAAATATAAAGTTGAGTATGGCTAGTGGAGTACCTCAGTGATTTCTAAAATTCAAAATTGTAGATATTGAAAAAGGTGGGTCCCAAGACAGAGCCCTGTGGAACACCATTCTCAACTATCAAATATTGCGATACTATTTTGTCCACAACAACAGCTTGCTCTCTTCCCTGAAGATAGCTGCTCAACAGCCCAACTGCATTATCAGAGAAACCAATGTAATGAAATATGGCCAGCAACAGTTCATGTTTTATTCTATCAAAAGCTTTGGTAAAATCTAATAGTACAAGTACTGTTAATTTATTACGATCAATTGCCCTAAGAATGTTATCAGTAATGTTTAATAAAGCGGTAGTGCAACTATGTTTTAGGTCTTAAACCTGATTGCTGTTGAGATATGATATTATAATTATTAATGTGTGAACTTATTTGTACATGAACAATTTTTTCGAAGCACTTCCCAAGGGCACATAATGTACTAATAGGGCGAAGTGATTTATAATCTAACGGTTTACCAACTTTGGGCAGTGGATGAATTAGAGATTTTTTTCATGTAGACGGAAAAACATAGGTAATGCAGGTATTAAAAATGTGACAAATATATTTTAAAATGAATGGACAAGCGTACAGTAACACTTAAAAGATCTGGCCCAACAGCTTTGGACTTTAATGATAATATAGTTCTATAGATTTCTAGTTCGTTCCTTAATGAAAAATTAAAAGAAATAATATTAGGCAGCATATATTATTTTTGTACCTAATAGTCGACTGTTAAATTATCCACAGGAAAATCAGATTTCGATGCATTTACAAAATACTCGTTAATTTCTTTTGGACTTATTAGTTTTATTTGCAAGGAATTTTTCTTAGATTTAGAGTAAATAATCTAGATTACGTAATTCCTTCCAGAATGTTTTTTGATTTCTGCAGTTTCTTAACTTAAATTCTAAATAATCCTATTTTTCTCTTTGTATTGCACTCTTTGTTTCATTTCTTAACTGTTTGTAACATTGAGATAGAATAAAGGGGAGAAGCTATGACGTTTCTAAAAGTGTCCGCACTTTTCAATAAGCATTACATTTTTACGTCATGTGTCAAACTAACGTGACCAAGTCAGTTTGATTACTGTTTTGGTGAGAATAAACGCCATTTTATTTAAAAAGCTGCATTTAAATATTATAAAAAGTTGTTTATTTTAATTTTAAATAATGGTATAATGTGCTATAAGAAGCTGTTGCAGCAGTGACAGCGTTAATAAGCAAAAAACTTCAGGAATTACATTTCATAAGTAAGTCTACAGCATATTCTAAACAATTATAAGGACCGTATTCTTAATTTTTGTTTCAATGTTTGTGTGTTAATTAATCATAATTTGCTTTTCTAATAATATAAGTATATCAGTCTTGCTAATTTAGATTCTGATAAAAATTTAATGATAATTTTACATCAGTAGTGATGCCCATATAAATCATTGGGGCTATAAAGATCATATTTTATGCTATTCCTGTAGGTACAGTTAAGGAATAAGTTTTAAATTTTCACAACGCTAAATATACAAATACTTGAATTATAGATTTCCAAAGAACTTTATACTTGAATTGTAGATTTTCAAAGAACTGTAACGCGGGATTCATGGATTGGATTTGTAAATAGAGGTGACTGGAAACCTTCAAAATATAGTGTACTATGCTCTAGACATTTTGAAGAAAACTGTTTCGATAGAAATTCTGTACATTTTGTTCGTCTAAAAGATTATGCGATTCCGTCTTTGCTGAATCCAAGTTTGAATCAGGTAAAAGTTTAGTTCTCTTATCAGATGTGGTCGGTCATATGAAACGATTAAAAGGATCCAAAAGAGGTTAACTCATATGTGCACGCAGTTTAGATCAGCAAAGAAAACTTATATTTCGTGCAATTTTTTTATTGAAATAGCAAAGCGCTTTCGGCATTCAGCCATCTTAAGTGCTTATCGTCAAGCAAAACACGTCCTTCAATATCGGCTTTCATCGTTATTTCAATAATAAACTATTGAAGAATCACATCTTGCTAAATCACCATTTTTAATAAGTTGTTAAAAAGTTTAATGTTAATTTGTTTAAATTTTAAAGTTTAAGACCTAATTAACGATTTTCGTTAAGGCAAAGTAAACAATAACCACTGAAGATGGTGTAATACTTTGCTGGACATCAAAAAGAATTTTCCAGAAAGATTATATATATTTCTGGTCTCATATTTTTAAGAATTTATTCTATAATTTAGATACAGTCTAGAAAGAAAGTCAGAAAATTGGGCAAAACTAAAACTTACTGATGGTTTTAGGAAGAATCTTCAATCCCGGCGAAGATTCGAATTTTATCTAATCTGTTATTACGACCACCTAATGACATCAAACTTTTTCTGGGCACCTCATCATCCATTGCTAGTACTTCTAAATAGTGATAGAACGATATCACTTTTTTTGCCGATACGATATATCGGCCGATATCGATATTTACATGCCGATGTACCGATATATCGTATCGACAAACATAACGCTATTTATACACGATCGAAGCAACTTAATATAACATCAACTGAATATTCATTTTCCAACCAAGTACAAGATTATGAAAATGATCCCTTGGAAATTATTAAAGCCATCGAATTAGATCACGGTTATGTACCAGATCCCTGTATTACTCCATTTTCGAAATATGTAATTACTTACATCGCGGGTTACGTTGTTCATTCTATAAATAAAAAAATACATTGTGGACAATG